CACTAGCTGAAGGAAAATGACCTTCTCAAGGTGGACTGTTTTCCATAGAAATGAACCAACGACTGTACAGCCATGATTCGGACTGAAGACCCTCGTTGGTGAACACAGGGTGCACTATGTGAAGATGAAGTTGGTATTAAGAGGATTCTACCTCTTGCCCCTCAGGGCTACAAAACGTTATGACAGATACATCGTTAACTTCACTCTGAAACCCTAGATAAGCGATCAGCGCAGCATGAATTTGTGCCCCCAGCCTCAAACTGAAGGCTACAGGTAACGTTAATAACAAGGAGACGGCCTTTAATTTAGAAGAGCCTCCATAAGGATGTTCGTGTTGTAATGAATAATTAACCCGAGTGGCAGTTGATTTGCCATCGGTGCGTTTCGTACGCAGTTCCACTCAGTCATTGCCATCACTCGTGACAGATGGGCGGGACTCCCTAACCTCCGCAACAGCTCTGCGCCAGCTCGCATGTGTTCGCTGACACCGGGTCCGAGGAGAACCGTTTGAGCCGTTGCACAGATCGCTCTGCGCATTTCCACAGATAAGTACGCGTTTTGCACAGACAAGGCTACTATTTGGCTCGTGTAGGCTGAGATGTGCGCTTTTCCACAAATAGGTATGAGTTTTTTCCACATAAAAAATATACTTTACAAATTTGGCACTAGTAAGTATACAAATGGTTTTGTTACTTTTTTTATTTAGTTTTAGAATAAAAATAACCTAATGTGATATGTAGGTTCTTCTGGTGTGTATGATGATATTGTTATTTTATTGTCATAATATAAACATAGTAACTATATTTCTACATCTCGCGTCATTAAACAACTTAGTTTTTCAGCAGAAAAGAGGTATTGTAAAACGGGGTTAATACAATAGGGCCTGGAATCGATTGAATAAATGCAGTCGAATATAGACAAGTGAACTGGTAAAAATGTCTATAATAAAATGTTGATTTCAAGTTAATAATAACCATATTTATGAGGCTACTTCAACATCGCCGTTGAGGGGTATTCGGCAAGTTGCAAATTCGATTATCGACGATTTTCTCAGTTAGGAAAATGTTGGGAGAATAAGATAAGACAGCATCCTTCGACAACCTTTTCACTTCTTGTTTCTTAATAATTCTATTATACAATGCTGTACAGTATATAAAACTGTCACCAAATGAAGACCGGAGAGCCTGGCTAGAAACATCTAATGTACAAAAACGATGGAATTTACACATTTATAAAACTGGCAGTTGGATCGCTCTTGCACCGGACTGTTGTTTCATCTGCAATACTGAAACCGGCTGCTTCCTCAGGATTTAGCCGACATCACACGTTGCCTGACGTGGCTATCTCGATAGCGATAATCACTGAATGACACGGATTTTAAAACAAGCCGCTTTCTCATTATCCAATTATCTGATCGATCCCTCTTTCAGTTATTTGTTCTGAGGGAGGTGTTGTGAGACATGAACTGTAAGCCTAATATACATAACTCAGGATCGCTGCCTGCCTTTAAGAGTAGAATTATCCTGCTGTAGGTCCTAGGTTTATAACTGAAGCACAGCTGTTGTGGAAGATATGATCGTACATACAGAACTACTCTGAATTTTGAAGATATAATTGTGCGCCTTGGAACTATACCCAGAAGACGTAATGAGGAACGGAGGCAAGTCTCTATACATTCCTAACCTTGGCACAATACAGAGTCAGTGACCAGTTTCACGCTCTGGCCGTATTATCTCCAACGTAAGGACCTCTGTTCTCCACCTCAGTCATAAATCGAATATCGGCTCACTTCAGTGACTGACTTGTCCTGATTGTGCAGTTTTAATGAAGTTCGTTCGGCCGATCATAAAATAAATTTTTACTAAATTTTGCGATAAGATTTACAGACGGCCTGGAACGTATTGGGTTCTTACGGTGAGGATTTGATGGCACTTGGCGTAGCTCCCGAGCTGCATAACCAACCCTTGTCGGCTGTCCGCTATTGCTTTTTCAATGTATTGGCACCTAACATCCAGTATATCTGGAAGTCTCCTCCGTCAGTAACCTCTGGACACGCCACGCCGTGGAACTTTCTATGTCGCGTTTCTGTGAGGACGGCTGTGAACTTTGCGTACAGGGGCGAGTTTCTTAGCCGTCTGAGCGAGTGTCAGCTCCATGGACTTTATTAATAAACAATGACATTGTAAAAACCTCAGACAGAATGTGTGATTTTGAAGAGTAACATGAGAATTGACGATGTACTGAGGCTGTTTTAATGTGTTTGGCGAAGTCTTTGTAAATACATAGGTCATATTAAATAGTTATTTTTACTAATGAATTGGGGAAATATCTGGCTGGACCTGTTTTAAGCTACTAACCCAACATTTGTGGATAGAGAGCGATAAACACGAAACACTTAAACCAATATAACGTACCTCCGGTACAAGAGCCAAACCTAGGACGTTTCGAATTGAAAACATGAGTCCCGCGTGACCGATTGAATTATTTGTGAGCCACGTTTCGATTACCGCTGCCTTATATTTTGCTGTGCGTTATTATTATTACAATTCCGTACATTAACTGAGGAATACCGCCATTACGTCATTCTATATACGAAGAAGTTTTTTAAGCTGACGTCTGCAGCTTGCCTTGTTACTGCGAAACAAACTGCATTGTCACAGGAGGCTAACGCAGGATGTGACTGCATAACATCATGGCTGAATGTTTTCTCGTACGGTTTTCGGAGCGGAAAGTTCTGAAGAAAGTTTTAATTAAATAATAGCACATAATTTGTTTTTATGTTTCGCCACGAACACCGCGTGTTCAGTATTCACCGCTTCATATTCTGAGAATTAGAAAAGTTCTGTGTAAAAGTAGTCTAAGGCGAATTGGGGTTTTCCAAAAAATCAGTGAAGAGATAAAAATTCTTCCTAGTTCAAGCCTGAACATTTCTGTTAATGGTAACAGTTTGCGACTTCCTGTTCTGGAGTCACCATGATGAATCCTGTCCAGGACCTGTTCCCTCAACGGATATTTCTTTCGCAGTTCAGGCTGCAGGAAGCTTGTTCTAGCTCCAACAATCAAAATCTGTATTCTGGAGGCGTAGGATTGAATTTCTGTCGAATTTTGCCTGCCTTTTTATTTTATGCTTTTCTTAGTTCCTCGAAATTATTGTAGGTATCCTACAATAAGCCACGGCCGCTTCCTTCCACATCCTTTTAATTTTAAAACTTGCCGTCAGTACTATGAAACCGTCTCCAATCGGAAACCCTAAAAGTTAAAAAGTGTACAGAACTGTAATTTAACCTACGAGAGAAAGAAAACAATTAGAATATATTTGAAAACGAGACGCCGAGAAGAATATGTAGAATGAAAATAGAAAATTACAGTAGTTCAGTTGGGCCAAAAAATATTCGGTCTTTTAAAAAAGTCAGCAAGTCAGTAAGATTTGAGGTTTTCACGGTGGTGAAGATGTCGATGTTTATGTGAGTTATAAAGCCATGTGGACAAGTATGTAAATACTAAAGTTTCGGAGGAAAATGCTGTCTCAAACTTCAGGGCTGAAGCTGAATTTGGAAACAGCATGAGTGAAAGAATGTTATATATCTACAAATTCATAAAACGTTACAATCCAGAATAACAACAAATGCTCATTTCGTGTTTACTGAAGTAGGCCACTACACACTATAATAAGCCATTTGAATCCAACAAAACCCTTACAATTTATTAATTTTAATTTTTTTAATTTTATACTCCAATCTATGCCTAGGCCTCCCAAATGGTCGTTTCCTTTCATGCTTTCTAACTAGGAT